GCTGGGAGTGCTTTTCTGATGCATTTCAGCTGTGTAATTTGCATCCTGGTTCGTCCAAACATATGACTGATTCAGAAGCGGATTTTTTTTAAAAAATATGGAAGTCTGTTATTTAATGAATGGGTAAAAGTGAAATAGCACAGTGCTCATTTAATCATTTTGCAGTTGTGCTATCAGAAAAATTGGGTGGAATCTGAAATAATGTGGATAGAAAGCTTCTGTGATTTATGCATGGTCTGAATGGTAAGCAGTCTACATTAGAGAAGAATTTCTGAAGGGTGGAAAGCAACAGAAGAGAAATAAAATTGATAATGTAAAAGCTGTCTCCAAGCTGCAGTACAGTGTGTGTTTACATTATTTGCAGAAAAAAGATATAAAGAGGGAAATGCTAGACCAAGAATTTGGGACTGATTCACAGTCACTAACGAGAGAGCACTGTTAGTTTAACACGTTTCTATCCTAACTGTTTATGACTGTTCTACTGTGAATTTTCTTCCAATCATCAACATAAGAACTTGTGCTTGATACGGCTTGTGGTTTTAGATTCTGTTTTCATGATTCAAACTTGCCTGGATCAGCATTGCAATACCTTTATTTTTGTACTATGTTCATTTGTAAAAGGTCACTATCAAAATTAGTTTTAAATTAATCTCTTAACTCACATTATACATTGACTTAGAAAGCTTTTGTGTGTGTGTGTGTAATCTGTTTGGGTTTTTTTTTTTCTGGTGAGCACTGAAAAAGAAAACCTCATTCTTTGTTTACTGCTGTTTTTCACAGAAAATGGGTCTTTGTTTGATACTTTCATATTCTTCCTCCTTCAGGGAGTTTCTGTTGGGAAAACTATTCTTTCTGATACAGCAGGGTTCTGGCAATAGGCCTCAGCACACCCTTGCTCTTATTAGTTTAAGTTAGGCCTGCTGTCCTCAGGGCAGAACCTTGTAGTCCTAAAAGTAAGAATGGAAATGTATGAAAAACTGCCTTTTGAGGCTTCATCTACTGTAATAACATTAAATAATAAATATTTAATGCTCTGTAACTACCTTACAACACACAAGAGAAAAGGGAAAAAATAGAACCATTTTGGATCTCTGTGAGTTATGAGACATCTTCATACGATGCTGATTTTGCTGTCGTGTGAAATTAGCTGTGATTATCCATGCTCCAGTTTTGATTAGCATAAATTCTGCATGGCAGCCTTATTGAGACCCTGAGTAAGCTATAATTAATGCAGAATGCAGCAGCTGGCTTACTAATGTTATTAACTACAACAAATGAAAGACTTTTGTTTTAATATTTGTTTCTACACAAAAATAGAGGGTTTAGGATTTCTAAAATGTATTTTTAGGGGGTTTCTTATGTTTGTTTAATACTTTCAGTGGAAGTATCTTGTGGTTAGTTACTTTTATTTCAGATTAGTGTAGTCTTTTCTGATGTAACTCGCCAGTATAACAAAACACCCTCAAATTTAAATAAGTTAAAGTGATCATCTTACCTTAAAAGAGTATAAAATTCTGAAATACAGATACATACTGAATATTTCCACTGTAGCAGTTAAGTGTGACAAGTAAGCAATTCAGTAATTTTCAATTCAGTCTTTCTACCTAACCCCATGATTAGGTTTCCATTGAATTTCAGTTAATTAAACAGTTTCCATCATGGCTTTTTCCCATGAAGCTGAGTGCACTTCAACTTTTTAAGCAGAGCAGTGTGAAATCTTGGGGCTAAGTATTTTTTTATAAAGATGTCTTCAGTGTGAAGTGAAATTCCTGGGGTTGATCTTCAGATGATAGTGTAGAGACCATCTCTTTATTCAGTTTTCTCCTCCAGTGAGTGGGTTTTGGTGTTATTTCATTACTAGGTCTTCGAGTTGATTGTATTGAATTTTTGTTTTAGTTTGGGGATTATTCTTTCTGCTGCTGATTGATGTCTTGCAAAGCTCATTTTGTAAGTTATAATAAAGAAATAGAATGTTGAAACAGGAATTTATTTCTTCTGCAGTCCATCTCTCGTATAACAGTAAGGTCCAGCACTGCTGTAGTGTTAGTCTTCATAAATGCAGTCAAGGAAGGAAAAAAAACCATAGTGAAAGCAGCAGTGTTCATATATGTATTTAATACTCTAGAAAGGAGTTTTGATATGTTTCTTGGTTGATTTTTTTTTCCCCTTCTTAATTCTAGCTGGTTTTTTTTATAAGTTTTAGCAAAAGTGTTTGGGCTTTTTTTCCTCCCCTCTAGTTTACCTTAGCACCCTCAGTCATGTTATAAAACCTATGTACATGAATATCTCTGATTTTTCTAAATTATTTTCTCAGTGACTTTTGGTAATATGTGTCATGGGAAATTAAGCTTCAGCCTAGGTTGTTTCGGGAGAAGAAAATCTCAGTCACAAACTTAGAAATTTTTCAAATATGGTATGCATTCTGTGCCAAGCATGCTCTTTCCTTTAGCAAGTTCATTATCAAAATAACCTTCCTTGGGCATTTTCCTAATTTCTCTTTTGAAAGGACATGCAGATGTTAACCATTATCCTTGGCATAATAGCAGAAGCTGGTCATCAATAAATGTAAGGTTCGATTGCTCTGATCTTTTTCAAAAGAAACAATAGTTCTCAACTCTACCAGGAAATACTGACTGACTAAGAGACATCTAGGTGTGTGTCTCAGGGCTGAGCCACAATAACTGACTAAAAATAATTTACTTTCTATGCCTTTGTATTACTCTCTTAGAACTGAATTGAAAAAAGGTCCTTTAGAAAAAGAACGGTGTTACTTGGCCTCATGGTTTCACATTGCCTTTGCTCTGCCACATACATGTGCCTCTAGGTAGGCAAGTAAAGGCAAGATTTGCTAGGGAATTCTCTGGGATTCTTGTTGTCTATGGGTTTCTTGTTCCTCTTGAGCACCTAGACCCAACTTTGTTCAGTGCTGGGCTGTTTTATGTGTTTTTCTGGTTCAGTTCTTACTGATGTGTACTCTTGCAACAGTCTTTGGTTGGAGGAAAACAGTTTACTATACATTCTTCTGGTAGAGAACTAAGGATCAAAGATAGGTGACTACCTCAGAAGATATCGTTATTGCTGAGGAGAAGGGTATTATCCATCTCTTGAAAGAAATAGAATAAAAACCAAAAGCCATTTTGGCTCTCCTTTACTTTTAGAAAGGTTTTTCTCACTTTATCCCTTTCGATAGGAGGGCAACTACAGCCTGTGTGAAATGTTTTGATTAGAAAGAGCGGGTTGGAGTTTTAATTGTGCATGTCCTATATGAAATACGTAAATCTTTTACAGCCCTATTTTACATAATTCTGTGCTCAAGTTTTCATATATTCCATATATTTAATTTCATTTTTATGGATATTTGTAGAGATAAATATAATAAACTGTTTGAGTCAGGAATATGATAAGTAGAAGGATATTCACCTTGTAAATTCTGTTGTCATTTGTTTCTGTGCCACCTAGCAAGCAGACATACCTTGTCTAATCTATATTAGGAAAAAGAAAATGGATAGTCAGTATTCTTTTTTTGTACTTATTCTCAGTTGTGGTTTTTTCCCTCCTCCTGTGATTCTTTATCATCTCCTTGATTTATTTTGTTAACATCTCTGCAAATGAAGTAGCATTGTTAGGATTTTTCATTTGTAAAAGTGAAAGTCTTGCTACTATATAAATTCATATGTTGTTTTCACGATCCTTGAACAGCTAAATCACTTAAATTACTATGAAATAACATTCAAAAGGCTTGCATATTAATTGAGGAGCTGAACAAAACTCATCCAAAAGAAACACTAGGCACAGAGATGGTTTTGAACTCTTGCCCTTTTCAGGCAGTTGGGTACTGGCTGCAGCTGCCTTAGATACCTTGGCTCAGGTTCACAACTTAAGTTTGTCTTCTGAGGATAATAAGCTAAATAAGCATTTAAAATTATAAAATTGTGCTTTACAGGGTATATGCCTGTCATTGTTTCCCACCGTTTGCCTTCTAAATAATTGTAATAGCATCTGTCAGGAACCAGGAAGCCATAAATCTAAAACCAGTTGGTGGAGTTTGAACTTGCACTTGTTGTTTTCCAGAAATGTACCATAGTAAGTGGGTTAAGGGGCTAGTGCGGGATTAGAAATCCTCTTCCCTTTGTCTTGAGAATGATCTGCAATGCATCCTGGAATGCAAAACCTGGAAAGATGGTGAGAGCATGCAAGAGGAAGTCTGACTCTATCAATATAGCTGTGACATCCAGCTTAGAAGCATGGTATATTATGGCCGTATAACTTTCCAGGTTTTAATTTGGTTTTGAAAAATAGAAAGGCTTCTGTGTGCCAGATTGTCTTATGAAGACTGAATTACTGAAATAAAAATAGTATCTCCCTAGGGAAGATTTTGTCAGTTGTTTGTAAAGAACATATTGCAAGAGAATAAAATACTTACTGCGTTTCATTATACAGAAGAAGAGCAGTAGGTCTTTGAGAAATCTGTAAATACCTGCATTAAAAGATAGTTTGCTTTGCTTGGTGATTGGAGCAGGTAATTTTATGTATGAAAGCTATGCTGTCTGCTGACTACTGTAGTAGAAAAGGAAGTAGACTTTTCTTTTGCATAAATAATCATATATAGTAGCAAATCCTCTGTCCAAAGCCTCTAAAAATCTATTCTTCTGAGAGGACATGCTTTTGGTTTTGTCAATTATGAGATAGCAAAAGAATAAAAGGTTATAAAATAAATGAGAAAAAGAAAATATTACTTTTTAGATGCTGTTAATTCCAGAACTATTCCTTAGCAGGTGCAAGTATGTTCAGATATGCAATTGTTGGATCTCCAGTATCAAATCCAGCTTTTAGTAATCAGAACAAAAGTACATTTCAAATGCATGGACCTTGAAGGAAAATAGCCTACTAATATCTGGGAACTTGATACATTTTGGGTTGTATTTGACACACCACTTTACAGAGTTGTCTGCTTGTTTGCGATTTTTTTTCTTCTCCTAAGAAATGCTATGTATTTTCAGGTTGGATGAGTTAATTGAAATGTTTCTCAAAGATAAGGATCCTGATAGCACACTGGATGTTGGTGCTGACATGCGCAAGATCAAGTATTGCTTCATTCATATGAAGGTATTTTTTTTAAACATGGATGGAAGCGCAGCTGGCACTCTGAAAATAACTTGAAGACATTCATTGTTGAAAAGTGTTAAAAAAAATGCAATAGAGTTGAGGGGTGCTGGAGAAGGGTGAAACACCTGAACTTTGAAGTGCTTGGAGGACTGATAGAAATTTTAAATTTAATTGGAAAAATTCACCAGTGTTTTGTGGAAACCTCAGCAAGGATCTCAGCATGCAGTAAATTGTAATAGAGCACTGGTACTTACTGGAATCAACACAGACTAGTTATTTGTATATGGCTTGATCTTCCAGTCTGTATTTCCAGCACTGTGGAGGCCTTATTTTGGACAAATATGTTGAAAGATATGAAAATGTAGATTAAAACCACTAAATCCCTGAATCTGTTACACTAACTCTCCTGAAGGTGTTGCAAGCCCTTCTGAATCATTGAGCAAACAAGATATGCTTGTTAATTATGAAACTAGTGAGGAAAGCAATAGAAGATAATACTTTTCTGTATTTTGGGATACAGTTTTTCCAATAAAACAATGTATGCATTCCTGATCTTAATTTATTGTCCTTAAATAATTATTTTTAGTTATATTGTTAATATTGAAAGTTCTGTCATACTAGGGAACACTGGAATTTATGTCTAATTTATGTCTAAGAGTAAAGTAAACTGTACGCTTGGTAGTGAAGATTGACCAACACAATTTGTTCCCTACTTGACACAGTAGATATAAGTTGACAGTCAACTGGTGGCATGATTTTGTTCTGCCAAGAGCCTAGAAAGGCTTTACCTTTCGTACCATAGCTAGACCATCTCAGAGTAGAATAATACTGAGCTAGAGGTAAAGTTAAAAGGGTATGCTTTTTTTGTTTCTCCTAATAGCAACTGATGAATCATCCCACAATTTCTGATAAAAAGCTGCTCTCACAAAACATCTCTGAAGAAGAAGACAGTAACAAAGAATCAGGAGAAGAACTGGAAAAACTTAAAGACCTTCTGCAGCAAAGAGACAATGAAATCAGTATCCTTTGTGAGGAAAAAAGTATTATTTTGTTTTGAGATGGGCTTATAGTTTGGCTTACAATGGGTTTTGTGTATGTGAGATAGGCTGTATGGAAGCTGCCCCCACTGTGTTAAAGCAAATACAGTGAGCAAATGAGCAAATACTCAATTCCCAACTTTTGTGTAACAGGACTTCTGCTTTGCACCTGCATCTCTTTCAATTGTAACCCAAATCAAAATCCTGGATCCAAGCACCACTTAGCTTTAGAATGGTCCACCCAATATCCAAATAGTGTGGGTCAAGTCACACCTAAAACACTCTCCTCAAGCAAATTAAACCATTTTTTAGAGGGGAAAACTCTCATGCAGTATAAAAACCAATTTATTACCTTACAAAGAATAGAATTTCCTGTATGTGTTATTTTTAGCCAAATGAAGTGCTACTTTGGGGACTATTGGGCTATATGCCTTTAGAACAAATATAAAAGTTGTACTTTTTACATTAAAATTTAAAGCTAAAGCTTTTTGGACATGAAAGTACTAAACTGCTCAGACGTGCTTCATCCATTTCACTGCCTCACAAGAAATATGAGTAGCTGTGCTGTAGCGCAGTGGGTGGGAGTTATTTTTAGCAGATTGGCAGAACTGTGGGCAAACTGCAACATCGTGGTGTCCCTAACTTTGTGGCTGCTCCGTGGGTAAAATTTGAGTATGGCAGAGAAAAGAAAATATGGATTTGCTAAGTTTAAAGATAATAGAGATTATCTCACAGATACTAGTAAAGAGCAAACCCGGTTGTGTTCTTTGTGCTCAGCAATTCCTGATGAATTTTAAATGTCGAACGAAAATAGCATTTTTCATTGGGGTATAACATGCTACCAGTCTGAATGGAGGTGTTGGGAAAGCTTCTCTAATTCTGCTCTGTCACAGATGATAATATTTTCATTTTCCAAGGTGTGATTTCAAATAAATTTATCTAAAACAGTGACTCATTCCTTTCAAAAAAGACTTCAATTTTATGTCAGTTTTAATGTCTGAATTCCCAGAAACATTTCTTCCTGAAATGAATTATTTCATTAGTATGGGAAAAAAAGCAAAATATCTCTATTAAATGCACTTATGCTCAGTAGATTTACACAGCTTTGTTTGTACAAGGAGGAAACTTGTGGAAATCCATGTTAGAATTATATAGGAAGAATATAAGTATTAAGACTTTGAAGACAAGACTGATTTAGAGAGTTGCTAAGTGACTGTACATCATCACATTAATAACATGTCTATTGTGATGAAGTGGTGGGAAGTATGGAAGCTGTTTAGTTAATAAACTATGAGTTCCTTCTTGCCTACAGTAACTAGAAGCTATCATAACAACTGAATTGGAAAGTGTTTTACTATTACTACCTAGTCAAGTTAATTATATTCCCTAAAGACTACTTAGATTTTTTGCTGTTCATTTAGAAGATTAATTGGTATTAAAATGAATAACATATCAAAAACATATCACAGGGACTTCTGTGGTTTCATCTGAACACACACAGGATTTCCATTGTACGCCCTCTATGAGCTGTTAGGCAAAATGTGTTTATACCAGATATACTTCCAGTAAATGCATAGTGTTATTGCAAGAAATTTCATAAAGACCTTTTCTGCATTTTAATAAACCTTCTTACTGTGAAAAGCCTAAACATTTGTGAGGCTACCTGTAAGTTAAAAGGTTTTTTTTCTTTTGTTTGGAAGTCCTGCTTATTACAAAATTTTAAAAATAAAAAGGAAGTGTCACACAATGGCAATAAGATCCTAGACTTTTCCTTCCTGTTTGTATGTAAATGCTTTTATCAGGAGTTGATTGAATGAGATCAACAATTTGTGGTCAATCTGTGAATTTGTTAATGTTTAGTAAAAATGAATCTGCTGTTTGGAAAAACTGAGGTGGTTGATTGTTGCTCTATATATATTAAAAAAAATAAATTCTTAATTATTTCCTTAATGTATCGTGCAGATATTCTGGTAAATATGCTAAAAAAAGAAAAAAAGAAAGCACAAGATGCTCTTTTCCAGCTTAATGCCAGCTCTGCTTGTTCTACAGTCTTGGAGCAGTCTCTATCTATAAACTTGGAAGATAGGCAGAGCCCATCTAACTGTTTTAGTCTGAAAGGGGCAAAAGATTTCAGCTCTTCTGTTCACAGACTACCTTTTCTTTCTAGACAAACAGGTTAGTGTAATTAATTAAGAGAACATTTATTGGATTATTCCAGTATGATTTACAGCGTATGAATCAAATGTGAACCAAAACAGGAAAGCTTTATTTTCAATATCAGTCATATTGTGCTAATTCTGTATCCACAAATACAGGGTTTTAAATTTAAAGCTCTCTCAAAGCGCTGATGGCTTTTACAAGCTGATGTGACTACTCTGTGGGACAGCCCTACAAAACCAGAGTATAAATTCAGTTGCAGGCCCTTGAATCTTTGAGTAAATTCTCAGAAAAAAATTATGCTTTTGAGCATAATTCATTAAAAACGTTGAACAGTTTTAGGTGGGCAAATATCTCTGCATTCCTTCAGAGTGACCTGACATTCTGCTACTAGTTGAATAATGTTGGCAGCACTTGCACTTGCAATCTTTTGTAATGTATAGCTGATAGCTATTATAATGATAATGCCTTATAATGTTATGTCTTAAAATGCTTGCGTTATTGTGCTCAGGGAATACTTCAAATGGCAGACTTAAAAAGGTAGTAGAAACATTTACTAATACTACACCTACAGCCTTGCCAGTGTGCCTTAAACCCAACCTCAGGAGACCAATTGTGTCTACAAGAATATAACAGTGTTCAAGCTCTTTCATTGTGTCTCTGAAAATGACAGTATGTTCTCCCTGATATAGAAGTAATTTTATTTTTCACATTCTATTTTTTTTATTTCTTCAAATTCTCAAAGTAACAAACTTCAATATTTATCTTCATATTGTAACTAGCCTTTATATTTAAAAGTTCTTGTAGACTGAAGATTAAGTATTTTTGAATTCAGCTTTTTTACAGTTTGATTCTTCATGGTACCAAGAGACATATTTGAGAAAAATTGGCTATGTAACACTTGTAAACATATACAAATAGTTCAGTGTTGAAAAAGGTCTCACTGTGTATACATAGTATGCATAAAGCCATCATATCAGATGTTAAGTTGTACTACAGGAGAGTAATTTTAATGAAACTTAATAAATTCTTTTTAGAAGTATTAGAACTCTTCTGTAGTCTTCAAAAATTGCATTTGAATAATAATAATAATAACAACAACAACCACCAGAATGGATCATGACCCAAAAATTATCAAAAATAAAAGAAGTATTTAAGAATAAGAACTAAGGTAAAATAAGGCCAGAAGGCTCAAGTAAAAGAAAAAGAAAAAAAGTAAAAGAGAAAAGTTCTGTGAGTTAGTATAAAGGAAGCCTATACTAGGATAAGCAGCCTATGTGCTGATTAAAAAAAAAAACAAACCACAACTATAAAGTACAGATCAATATCACATGAAGAAAAAGTCTGTAACCAAGAAGCATTCAATTTTTTTTTTGCAGGCAAGTTACTGTTTTGAGACCCTTAGCTGAAAATTACCATAAGCCTCAAGCCGCTATTACTATTTTTCTCTTTTATTACAAAGCTACAACAGTGCAAAGATACATTAGTACATTCCTTGGCAGCTTAAAACTCTTTTTTCTGTCTGCTAATGACTAGGATGTAGTTCTCTTTCCTGGTGAACTCAGACCTGAACACATTTGTATGCCTCAGACATGATTAATCCCGTTTGTTCTATCTAAGAATGAAGCACAAGGTCTTGAAAGAACACCATCTGGTGAAAAACATGGTTGTCACCTTACATAGCAAAATAAGTAATTTTAATACTCTAGTATCCACTAGATACATATTCTGACTTCAGTTTTTCCTTTTAACCTTCAAATTTCTATATGGGTTTGAAAAGCTTTCTCATCATGGTTTTTGACAGGCTACTGCAATGATGAAATTGTCAACTGGCTGGGGAGGCTTGTGAAAGAGTGGGAAAGAAGTTTGAGGGACAATTGCAAAAGTATTAAATATTCTTCTCAGGAGTTAGGTTTTACCTCAGGCTTCATCAGACCTCATAACTAATTCTTCTAATATTGTCTTACATACTTCAATTAATATGGCTATTAATTAAAAAATTTCCAGAAGCTTATGTATTCAACCCCAAAAGTTTTAAATACTGAATCATGAGATTAAATATTCAAATCATTAGTTTCCAGAAGACCGAGTTTTAAAAGATATGCAAGTATAAGTAATATTTACTGATAATTTTTTTGAAAATGTGTTCTTCTGCATACTAAATTTTCAGAACTAGCTGCAACCATTCCCAGAACCAGATTTTATAAGATTTCAGGGATCTGTTTCACCTCATTTGTAAGAGTGATCCCACCAGATTTAAGTATGTGGTTAAATCATTGTGGAAGCAGCTCAAACAATGGAAATAATATTAAACAGCATGGATTGTGTATGTAGGGCAGTTTTATAGTTGGTATTTGAAAAGGGTTAAATGTTAACCATTGCAGTTTTCTTTCCTTGCATCATCTGTGCTGGTTATTTATGACAATAAGTAACAATATCCTTGCAAGTTGTTAATTTCTAAATCCACTTAAAATAACTTCCAGTAACTGTAGACAGGTTTTTCGTGCATAGTTGCATGTTGTCTTTATTTTCTAGTTGAATTGTTCAAATAAAAAGGTTTTTTGGTGTCAGTAGGTTCTAGATGTGCTTATGTTTTTGTTAGCAAAGAACGTACCTCATCCTAGATTACCACGTATAACTATTACATGTTCATGATTTGCATTTTTGTTTACTTTTTTTTGCATTTTATGAGGGGATTTTAAACTGAAAGAAGAGAGAATCTTCAGCTTGAATTTCAGACATGGCAGCTGACAAGTAGAAACTTAGATTTTGCAAGTGTACTATTGGGAATGCTTTTCTTAAACTAGTTAAGGTTGCCAGTTATCCTCTAAAATTCCTTTGTAATTGAATTAAGAGTCAATTGTCACACTTGCTATTGTTTCAGCTACTGAGGAAATCCCTTTGCCTTCAACTTTTCCTATTCATAATGCTCCTTATCGTTTTCTAGGAAAAATTTATTTAATTGGTGTCATAGTAGTATTAGCTAAATATAATCATAACATAAAACTTTTGATTACCTTAGAAATATGTCAGCAAAAAGTAGCTATGTTGTATCAACAAATGACTAACATAATTGCATCTTTTATATAGTGTCATTTGTTCTTTAGTCTTTAGAGAACAATTTAAAGAACAATTTGCAAGCAGTAGCAAATTCTGTTTCGATCAAAGCTTTCTCTTTTTGCAAACATTTGTGTGTGCATGTTCATATGAATTTACTTTGGACATAAATGGGAACCAGCATGTCAGCTCAAACTGACTGGATTGTTGAACCTTATCTCCTGCACTCTGCATTAGTGAGGCCAAGTTGGATGGGGCCCTGAGCAACCTGCTCTAGTGGAAGATGTCCATGCCTGTGGCAGTGGGGTTGGAACAGGATTATCTTCAAGGTCCCTTTCAACCTAAACCATTCTGTGATTCTAAGTTTGGATGAGGCATCATTCTCACTCAAGCACAGAGCCTCATTTTTCATATATTGAAAACCTGAAAATAATATTCATCATTATAAAGTTATCCATTAATTTCAAAATCTGTCTGAACTGTATACATATGCCTTTTTGTCTGTAGTCATTAAGGATTCACTAAAGATGTGTGAAAGGGCTTGAGCCTGAGCCAGGGTCAAACTCCCAACTAGAAGCTTTAGTGTAATATTAGCATACATAATGGGTAATATTAAAGCTATTCTTCATCATTTAAACTTTCTGCATACCTTACATCATTTATGAAGATTTCAGTTTTCAATAGCAGGAAGGCTTATGTGATATGTTACCTGTTTTAGCAGTCTAGCTTTCTTTATTTAATTCTGTACTCTCAAAGCTGTCATTAGATGGATTTAATGCAATAGAATTCAAAATAAATGTTATTTCTAGTGTCTCTAATGTGTTTTCCATTCTTCTATCTCATTTCCTTATCCTGAAAACAATTAAATTAGGAAATCAGCAGAAAGCATAGGAAAAAAAAATTAGTGAAGCAGTTGTTAGAAAGTCTATCTAATAATTAGATAAACTTTCATTTATTTTGCTGTTGATTTGTTGTGTAGCTTTAACATTTGTTTGCCCAGAAACAGATCTTTACCATTCTGTGTTAGAAAATAGAATAATTTCATTCTGTTACTTCCATGTTAGATTTACTGCTGCTTTTACATTGTAAAATCTCCAGACTTATTGACCTGTTACTGAATCCATCAAAAAAAAAATTATTTATGCTGCTAAATTTCTGAAAAGTAAATGAACTATAAGAACTCATACAGTACTATGCAGGCAAAGTTTCTTTCTTGGTGTGGTAAAAAATGTATTATCTCAGAGAACTGCTGTCTCTCTATGGTGAAGCATATTTTTATAATTTTCCTTGTATGATCTAGGACCATATCTGCATTGGAAGATATGTGTAATGATGTTTCTAGTCTACCCTCTCCAGATATTGCTTTGAGTAGGAGAAATGCAGTCATACTATTTCACTACTGAGCTTGATGTAATAATCTGGGTTAACAGGAAAATTTTTATCTCATCATAGCAGTAAAACAATTCCTGGTCCAAATTTGTCTCACAGCAGGCTGACTTTGAAGGTGAATGAGTATTGACTTCTACAACTGTACATGTTGTAGAGGCACAGCTGTAATTTATCTTTTTTTTAAGTCCATCCTGCACTGAATGTGCATGCTCTTTGAAAAGACACTGAGTGAACATAATACATCTTCAAAGGTTTGACATATGGTAGTATTTACCTTCCTGTACATTTTATCTTTCCCCCACTGCTTGTATGCCTGAAACTCTAAACAGAAGCCTTTAATGGTAATGACTGTACAAACTGAAAGATCAGTAAAGCCTAACTCCCCACATTTGGTCTGACATTAGATTGGCTCAGTTGGTTAGAACACCATCAAGGTAGTGGGCTCAATGCCCATATGGGCCATTCACTTAGGAGTTGGACTTGGTCCTTGTGGGTCCCTTTCAACTCGGAATATTCTGTGACTTCCAAGTAGGTTTTGGGGCACTATTATAGCATATTTTTGACTGCTAATA